GCTTAGAAAGGAAGTTTGGGTCGGTTCTTGCAAGATCTTTGAGTTCCTGACAAACGAGAAGTCGATTCTGCTTCTGGTCCTCAGACAGGAGCCTTGGTTTCGCATGTGGAGTTCTTCCTTTAGAATCAGCTGACAGGTCCCATAGCCTATCCCAGCAATGTCGCACAAGTCGTTGATGGTACGACGTCGATCTTCGTGAATGGCCTGCCGAATCTTGGTAACATTTTCGGGCGTTGTGCTCGAAGATGGTCGTCCAGAACGCTCGTCATCATCGCCAGGGGTTCGGCCATTTTTAAAACGTGAATGCCACACAAAAGTTTGTGCACGACCCATTGCGGACTCCCCAAATGCTTGCTTTAGCATTTCATAGGTTTCCGTAGCCGTTTTGGCGAGTCTTTGGCAAAATTTGATGCACAAGTCATTCCGAAATCCCAGGAGGGTCGGTGTAATGCACTACCAAAACGCCCGTAACTAAGAAACAAATGCTAATTCGATGATGCCGGATGGCACACTGATTCACTATGAATATAGGCCGCACCCCCTAGCGGCAGAAGCTCGTACTACATCCGGTTCGCCCTCTATTGACACAGTCTTGAAACTTTTCGATCGCACCTCGTATTAAGAAGTGATCGAATGGATGACATGATAAATGCATACACAATTTCAGACGGAAATCCGAAGGGGAGATAAAATTGACAGAAGTGGGGGTGGACGTAGAAGGGGGTACAACATTAAAATGGTCCGTAATACTCTGATTAGGAAAATGTGGATCAAATACATGTGACTCAGGGTATGGTCCAGTATCTGACCGAGGGCTGGGTCGTCGAAGAAGCAACCAGGTGAAGCTGTTGTAATTTTGGTCCAGAAGAAATCCCTCAGGCCGACAGTGAGCCGTATGTTCATAAAATCGAAGCTGAATCTGACGACTTTTTGTTTGTGTTGTGTTAGAAAAACAGAGAATGTTTAATTATCGAACAAACAAGCGAAATACATGTTTCACTAAAACTGAACAACCATCCGCAAAATTGTAACGTGATGTTGTGGGCGCAAACTTTCGCATCTACGTAAGATGTTCGTTTTCGGCAGAAAGTGGGGCATGACGACAGAAATACACGGATTGGAATGCGATTGTAAACTGGTATTTGGAAGTTTTAGCTTATAAAATTTATCTCCACTGTGACACCTTCAGCTTTCGTATTCACAACTGTAACATCGTATTCCCATTTGTTTGACTGTTGTGAATTTTGTGTAGTTTCCTGCTCAAAAATGTACCAAAAATCCTTGCAGAAGACGCTGATATGTATTTGCAAGCTTGTGAAGTGCATGAAATTGAGAAGTGTTGCGTGCTATGCTCTCTTCTATCTCGGCAACGGATAACAACTGTTTGCTCCGGACCTGGCACACTTATTCCTTGAACCCAAGAAGAGAAAATATTAAGGTCAAAACTAGGAAAAGTTTCCTGAGTTCAAATCCCGGTGAGGGTGTTCCCTGTAGCTCGCAAACTAAGGACGTTGGAAGAGAGGCGCTTAGGTCAAAGTTATTTGTTTCGAAAAGTAGATTGCAGAAATACCGGAAGAAACATTGTGAAACTGTCTTCGGTTCAGTTCTCGATGACGATGGTTTCAGGAGGTTGGGAACTGCGATAGAACTGCTCAAAGAACAAGTTTCTGTGTTCTGGCGAGGATGTCGGCAGCCAGGGTGGCATACAAAATATTGTCCTGGGTTCGAGCTTGGTGAAAATGCTAGGTTCAGAAATAAAAAGGTTTTAATTATCTTTATATGGTATTCAGCAATGCGTGTCGAATGACAGGGCCCGTGGCAAGCTTTTGGATAATACAATTGATAAGAAATATAAGCGTTTGTCGAATTTCCCTGCAGCAGTACTGTGGAACAAAGTCACGTGAGAACACAAAGCAACCACGAAGTTCTGGATTCCCGAGTGGCGTCCTTTTTCAAGCCTTACTGCTCACAAAGTCAACTTGGAGTTTAAATTCACTCAACCCCCGGACTAAAGAATGGCAACTGAACGTAGAGGTCTCATGTGTAGGGTTTACGTTGTGGCGTGGACCTGTGACGTCATAAGCACTTCAACGCCGTGCTCCTACGACGCACTTTATGTTCGGTTTCGTGTGTGTGTGTGATATGTTCTTACGCCTCCAGGAAAATGTGTTTTATAACTTTCTAAATGACATCGCCCTTTTGCTGTTCAACGTGCAAGATAATATCGTAACCCGCGTTCATAAAAGCCTCGTTGAATGTTCCGATAAACAGTTCTTTATCCTCGACTTATAGAGGATGAGTGTAAGTTTATGTCCGCATTGTCTTGTAAATATTGCAGACGTTTTTCTCCGCGCACTTCATACATTAAATGTGACGTAACTCCGTTCGCTCGGTTCTTCTCTGTGTCTTATAGTTATGAAGTAGTGTCAGCTGCCGTTAGTTACAAGGTCTGTAATGTGGGTTGGGGGAATTGAGCGTCTCCTACCATGGAGTGGTTATGGATTATATTAAGGTGATATTGGTACATTATCCTGAAATAAAATTAAACAAGTCCTCGGAAGCCTTTACTGAGGATAGTCTAGCCACTAATCGACTGAGAGTTTTTCTTCAGAAAGCAACTCAGACGCTTTGCGACTAAGTCAAGGTGCTTAATCAATTCTTTAAGTGCCGATGACTTTAGCTTGAAATATGCGTGACGTCAGGTGTTGAAACGTGTTTTCATTTACGTTTTTCTTCAAGTATTTATTTATTATATACACAGCGGCACTGTCAATAGTTTAGAGTGGACGCCCTGGTTGAATGATTTGAAAGGATATAGACGGCAAAGGTCCTTGATAAAGCGAGGTACTCCGGTGTCCTTCTGTGACGACCTCGAGAAACCTCTCGCGTATAAGAGCCGTTCTCTGAGCCAAGATGTGATCCTGGGACTTGTCGCTCACGAAGCAGAAGAGTGGTAATTCACCGGTTATTAGCGACAGCGTGTCTTCAGGTCAGAGGGCGAGAAGTTGTGTGTCGCCGGAGGGCGAATCAGCCTGCACGGAGGTAGATGAAGAAAATGAGATGGAACAGCTGGCAGCGGCGAACGGGAAAATAAACCCCCAAAAATAAATAAATAAAACCCCGTTTCGTACGTATTTACCATCCTTATATTTTCTTCTGTTTCGTCGCTGTCCGTCTTACGTATTTCTTTCAACAGTTAAATTCACTGCGAACTGTACATAGACTGCCTTTGGTTTTATTTGTATTAACTGAAACGTCTGTATCTCTCATCATTATTTCTTTCTTCACGTGAACTTCGTGTGCACTTCGGTTTCAGTGTGTGTCTGTGTGCACAGAGAACGAATTGAAGCAAAGGGAATGAGGAAGCAGACAGACAGACAGCCTTACCTCGTGTCAAATCTTCTCTGGTTTTAAAGAGGAACGTGACAACGCCAAAGCCATTACGTGCGAAGATGTGCAGTCTAGTAGTTGGGACTTGTGCTTCGTATTGTGGAGGTCCCGGCTTCAGATCTTGGCTCGGAGATCAGCTAATTCTGACGAGTTTTCCTCGGTCCCTCAAGACGGACCCACGACCGTACTCCCTGGGTGCTAATCTCTTTCCTAGTCTTTACAGTGTAATCTGAGCGACTCGGGGCTTCGCGAAACAATGCAGAAAAAGTAATCCAACAGATGCAGATTTTTCCCGATGTTTAATATAATTCGAATGTCGCAGGCCTATTTCGGGTCGAAAATAAATTTCGCAATCTCGTTCTAAAGGATTCTGAGTTCATATAACGACGCCTTATCAACTACAATGACTGAGTGTGTCGCTTAGCAACGAGCTCTCATGCCTCGTTTGCGGAAGGTCGTGTATTTTTTCAGTCCCTCCAGTTTAGAGCATGGATAGGGTACCACGAACATCGACAGATGCACGGAAAGTGTTCAAAATACACTAACCTGGGTTACAGGCTCGTCCTACAGAAGACAGAGCTCCTTTACCATATTACATGTACTTCGCGTTACATACTACAGTTATTTAACAGAATGTTAAATAATAATAATAATTAATAATGGCGCTACATACTTCGGCCCTTATATGAGTCATCTTCAGACTGTGTCAAATACAACGGAATTGCATGAAGTTGTGTTGGTCTCCCATTATCTCTAAGACCTGCGTAAGTGCATTAAGATGTTTATAGATATAATAATGTTCGCTGAAATATACAAATAACGCATGGACTGTAGTTTAATGAGCACAGTTTTATTTGCA